GAGCACTCGGGCCCATCAGTAAGAAAGATAAGATAAGATAATAAGACTATAATAAGACATCATAATTAAGCATAATCAGCTCATGCATATTTATTCATGTGAACTTACAGTTATTTTGTGAGAGATAGTTCCTACTTGCTGAGCGAAAGCTCAATCAGATATGTTCATGCTGTAGGTAAGAAATATATCAGCAATTCTTGAAGGGTAGTGGCGAGCGGCAGGCGAATGGTGGAGATGGGAATGGATACCGCTCACAGTTAAATCTTTCGTAGTAAGTTTAAGTAAAATCATGTATATGTATATATGATTCAAAGGTTTCAAGCATGTATATTTGAAAAGTATATGTACATATGTATGTTAAGAAAACTGAGGTTGTAGCTAACAACCCAGTCTTGAGTATTTAAGTTTTAGAACGTTGCAACAGTGCATGCAACAAATAAACGAATTTTAAACATGACGATATAAATGATTGATTTTAAAAGAACTTTAAGATGTACTTAATTTTAAGATTTCACACGAAGTCTGTTTTAAAGTCAAATCAGATGGTCATATTGAATTGGCTAGTTTTAAAAAGGCTTTTAAAGGGTGTTTGAAACAAATGTTCAAATGCTGCTCAGTTTGAAGGATATATCTAGAAGGTTTTATCTTAGTTGAAATTAAGAAAAGCTTTAAGAAATTTAGTGATTCATTCATTTGAAATTATTGTTACGAATTATGAAATTATTCCTTCTAATATAAAAAAAAAATGTTCCGCAAATTTAAGAAATCTCAGTAAGTACAAGTTAAAAAGTAAGCTACGGTGGCGGCCTCATAGGAGGGTTGTCACAGTACCGTGGACCAAGCTGGGCGGTATTGTGGATCAAGATGAGCCGTGCCATGAGCCTTGAATGAGCTAGCCCATTCAAGGTCCATCTTGGCCCATCATGGGTTTAGATGGGCTAGCCCATCTAAACATGCAATTTTCAATTTTTTATTTTTATTTTTAAATTTTGAATTTTTAAACAAGTTAACAAATATAAAAGTTTTAATATTCAATGAAAACATGAAAAGAGATATTATTTTTACGATTGCCTCATTAAATATAAACCTCTCTAAGGAAAATCCTGTGGGACAAAACTTTGGTAAGGAAAAAAGAGAACAGTCAGAATAATTATACATAAGATGTTTAAAAAATTACTAAAAAAAAAGAAAAAAAACATGAAGATATTATGGGCCTAGATGGGCCGGCCCATTATGGGCCTAGACGGGTCGGGCGGGTCAGCCCAAGCCCGGCCTGGCACATGATTTTTCATGGGCCGATATATGTTGACTCAGCACAGCCCACCAATATTTATGGGCTGGGCCATACCTTGAATAGTGACGGGCCGTGCCAGCCCGGCCCGTCACTATGTCAGGATGGGCCTGGGCCTGCCCACAGTCCCCGGCCTATTGTTGCATCTCTATCCTTTTTGACAGCATTACATCATCGGTTGTGGGAAACTTTCTCTTAAAAGCATTCAAATTAAAGAGCCGAAGAGCTTAAGTTCATATTTCTTATCTGCTCTATCTCTAAGCACTTGTGCATCTCTTGTTGTTATAATAATTCTACTTCCGGGCCAAACCAGTGGTGATCTTCGGCTAAAACTTCTAATTGCTCTAGATCATCGATGTCATCAAGAATAATACATACCTTTTTACGGCCAAGTCTTTCCTTTTCCTCCAATAACTCGGAAAATAGTTTTGTTTGCAAATAGTGTAGTCCTTGATGCTTTCCGGACTCTTCTCTAATGTTATCAAGAAAGCAGAAGCCTTGAAACGTAGAGGATAGTCGTTTAAATATAACACGAGCAAGGGTTGTTTTCCCCAAATGCCTATAATGCGAACATTTGATAACTCATTAATGCATAACAGTTGTTACGTACATTTCCTCAATGCTCTTGTTAATTCCAATCAGATCTTTGAAATCATCACTTGATGACATACCATTCAGTTTCAACAAAATGTCTTTCACATTTGCCTCAACAAACTCTGAATCGGTTCTGGCATATATGAAGGACACTGGTGCAATATCATAAAAATACGAGTTTCAATTAAATTATAAAGAAATTCTGCTATATTTTATCTTTCTTGCGCATGTATACCAGTGTCCTGGATTTAGTCGTAAACTTTGACTCAGTTATTTGTATGTACCATGCATGTTTCCTAATAGATCTTGAATAATTAAAGCTTACGACTAAATCCAAGACCAACTAATTGATTAACAGATAATTACATTCTATCTAGGGGCTCCTAACCACAATGTTATTCGTTAATAAAAGTAGCATTCCACGTAAATTACAGATTTTGATCTAATAAGAAATTTCATAGAAATCCTTGTATAACTTGTAACAACTAATGAAAGAAATATTTGATCAACGGAAAAAAAAAATGGCAAGCATAAGTACCCGTAGGTCCGTGAATCCCATCCTGCTATGTTGGCTACTTCTGTCAAAGCTGCTCTCCATTCTCTCCTTGTAACGTTCTTCATGTTTTGCAAAAGCTGCTTCGTAAGAATTGAGTTGTTTTCGTACATGTGATCGATCTATATCATAAAAAACAGGTACACTAATCTGTTCATGTTCTTTCTTGCAGTTGAGAATACACAGCACTTCGTCCAAACACCACGATCAAAAAGCATAGTTTTCAGAGAAAATGATGTTGAAATATTTTTATGTGGACTTCTATAATCATAATAATTCGCTCTGTAATTAATTAAGCATCTTATGGACAACTATGTTAAATATTGGTCAATAATGGGATGGACACTTGTTTTATTAACTCACTTAAGGTATATGAACTCTCTTTATCTCATAATATTTGGTCAGCCCATTGGACCAAATACCCTCTCCATTGAATATTGCTTAAAGCCCTTAGGCCTATCTGGTTATATAATTAGCCACCCTTTTATTTTTTGGTGGGCTTGTGCGTAGGGCTTTTGGGGGTGTGGCCGACCGAACAAAGAGAGGGAGAGATAGGGAGGAGCTCAATGCTCCTCTTGCCGTATTAACGGAAAGAATATTTTTTCTTTATTATAATTATCTTTTCCTTTATTGTAATTATTTTTATTAATTTTAGGATTCTTTCTCATTCATGTAATTAGTTTCCTTTTCCTTTCCCGTTTGCTTTCCTCATTATTTTGGTTGTATAAATCATTCTTGTATTCTTTCATTATGAATATACAGAAAATTCTACCAAAAGTCTGTCTTCTTCTCTTCTTTTCTTTCATAGAATTTTACATTGTATCAGATCCTTGAGGTTCTATATCAATTTCCGCTGCAGCTATGGGAGAAGAGAAATCACAGAAGATGATGGATGACTTTTCAGACCCTCTTCTGCTTCATCACTCCGATCATCCCGGCCTTGTTCTCGTGTCCAAAGTTCTTGAAGGCGACAACTACGGACAATGGAGCCGTGCCATGAGACTTGCTTTGAGTGCAAAGAACAAGCTTGGATTTATCAATGGAGATTTGGAGAAGCCGACATCTACCGACACCAAGTTTCCGCTATGGGAACGATGCAACAATATGGTACTATCTTGGATCCTTAACTCTGTCAATACTAACATTGCTGGGAGTATTATATATGCAGAATCTGCAAAGGATGTTTGGAATGATCTCTATGATAGATTCTCACAAGGGAATGACTCCCGGATTTATCAAATCCGCCAAGAGATCGTCGAACTACGACATGGACATCAATCCGTCTCTATTTACTATACCAAGATGAAAGCCCTTTAGGATGAATTGGCTTCATATCATGATCCAATTTCTTGTACTTGTGGAGGCATCAAGTTTTTGGTTGAACGAGAAGAAAAGGAATGGGTCATGCAATTCTTAATGGGATTGAATGATTCTTTTTTGACGATACGTGGTTCAATCCTCACGATGAGTCCTCTCCCCGACACAAGAAAGGTACATGTCCTTATTTTACAACAAGAAAGACAAGCGGATGTTGTTATCAAGCGAGACAATGGAGGGTCACATGCCAACTACCAATCCGTGACTTCTTCCAACTCTACCAACCGGGTGGCTACTAGTGGAAAGAAACCGCCTTACCATTGCACTCATTGTGATATGGATGGACACTCCATCGAACGATGTTTCTTTCTCCATGGATTTCCTCCCGGACACAAATTTCATGGGAAAAATGTCAAACCAAAGAAGAAGGCAGCCCACAATGCGCAGGCCATCGCTAATGAAGCCACAAGCACTCAGGAAAGCAAAGTAGCCACTTTCACACCCGATAAGTATGAACGCCTTATGAGCCTTCTTCGATAAAATACCGGTAACACCTAACCTTTTGCTAATACCACAGGTATACATTCATCCCCTACTCATCAATGGATAATAGACAGTGGAGCCACTGACCATATTTCTAAATATCCCCCTGCACATAACAAAACCAACACTAAACACCATCCTTTTGTTGAACTACCTAATGGAGGGAAGGCCAAAATTAATTCCATAGGTTCCATTCGTGTTACTGATAATATGACTCTTGATGATGTGCTATTTGTGCCTGAATTTAAAGTCAATTTGCTTTCTATCAGTAAACTTACAAAGGCCTTAGGTTGTAATATGACATTTTATCATGATTTTTGTGTGGTGCAGGATTTAACTATGAAGAAGACGATTGGACGGCGTAGGCAGAATAATGGTTTATACTTCCTCTCCATCGATCGTTATCCTCCCCTAGCCAACACCACCAACTGTAAATCCAACCTTTGGCACAATCAACTTGGGCACCCATCATTCCTTCCATTTCGTTTATTATCTAAAAGCAATCCAGCTATTTCTTTTGATTCGCATTTCTTTTGTGACATTTGTCCTTTGGCTAAACAAACTCGGTTATCACATTCCAATAGTACTATTTCTAGCATTGCACCTTTTGATTTGATTCATTGTGACATTTAGGGGCCACACAGAATACACTCTTATTTTGGTGCTAAATATTTCTTGACTATTGTGGATGATTTTTCCCGATTTACTTGCCTATATTTCATGCGTTATAAATCTGAAACACAATCTCTTTTACGTAATTTCTTTGCTTGGGTCAAAACACAATATGATCGTACTATAAAAAGTCTTCGTTCCGATAATGGGGGGTTTGGTTGGAATTTCATTCTTTACAACCATTTATTAATGACAATGGCATTGATTTCACACATTCTTGCACATCCACACCTCAACAAAATGGGGTTGTGGAGCGTAAGCATCACCATTTGTTAAACATAGCTCGAGCCCTTTGGTTTCAAGCTAATCTGCCACTAAAATTTTGGACAGAACATGTTCAAACAACATGTTACCTCATCAACCGATTACCCACACCACTTATCTCTAATAAAACTCTATATGAAATACTATACCAAAAACCTCCTTCTTATTCACATATTCGAGTCTATGGGTGCCTTTGGTTTGCCACGAACCTTACTACTACTCACAAATTTGACACACGAGCAAGAAAATGTGTTTTTCTGGGGTATCCTAAAGGACAAAAGGGGTATCGAGTCTATGATTTAATTGACAAAAGATTTTTTGTCTCTCATGATGTTGTTTTTCATGAAGACTTTTTTCCTTATTCTACCTTACCACAAAATGACTGCACCACAATCACTGTACCAATCTTACCTCTACCTCTCGACACACCCTTTGACCTATCATCCACCATCATAAACCCAAAAATCCCAGAAATTCCACAAAATCCACTTCCAGACCTTAGCGCTGTGGCACCTCCTACTCCAAGCCATGACGCTGACTCTCTAGCCCAACCCATTATAGAAACCATACTCAATGCTATGGTGCCCACTGCTTCAAGTCACGGTAATGACCTTCATCCCAGCACCTCCATCCGACGCTCCACCCGTCAAAGTCGACCACCCTCTCACCTAAAATATTACCATATAAACCATGTTCTGACTGCACCGAACACGGCTCTTCAGATTAAATCCTTGACTCACCATCCTTTATCAAGGTATGTGTCATATTCTAACCTTTCATTTGCTTATCGTAAGTTTTCCTACACTATCTCTCACTTAGTCGAACCAGAATCTTATGAGCAGGCTTGTCAGGATCCTAAATGGGGTTGAAGCAATGCAATCCGAGATACATGCTCTTGAAGCCAACAAAACATGGTCCCTTATCCCCTTACCTCCTGGTCATCATCCCATTGGATGGAAATGGGTTTACAAGATCAAGTATCATTCTAATGGCATAGTGGAACGATACAAAGCTCTCCTCGTTGCAAAAGGCTTTACCCAACGAGAAGGCATTGATTACACTGTGACCTTTGCCCCGGTCGCCAAGCTCACTACTCTTTGGTGCCTCTTAGCCATTGCTTCTACTCGTAGGTTCAAAATGCTTTCCTTCATGGTGATCTCACTGAAGAAGTCTATATGCATCCACCTCCTGGTTTTCGTTGGTAGGGGGAGACTCTTGTATGCCGACTTCACAAATCTCTATATGGTCTCAAATAGGCTTCACGATCATGGTTTCACAAGTTTCTCACAGCCATCACCAAGTTTGGTTTTCAGCAATCTAGAGCTGATTATTCTCTTTTCACCAAGGTGTGTGGAACTTCTATTATAGCCATGTTGCTTTATGTGGATGACACGATTATCACAGGAGATGATGGGGATGCAATCAAAGAAGTCAAGAACTTCCTTGGAACCTGTTTTAAACTCAAAGATCTTGGGTCACTTAAATACTTTCTTGGTGTTGAAGTGGCTCGATCTTAAGCGGGTATATCCATCAATAAACGGAAATACACGCTTGATATTCTCAAGGAAGCAGGTTTACTTGGGGCAAAACCGGCTAAGTTTTCCATGGAGCAAAACTTGAAACTTAGTCCTACCGATGGCGAGTTGCTTAAGGACCCTACTCATTATCGGCGGTTAGTTGGGAAATTAATTTATCTCACCATCACTCGACTAGAGATCACTTTCACAGTTAATATGCTAAGTCAATTCATGCAGATGCCTAGGCGACCTCATTTAGATTCTGTTTATCGTTTATTATGTTACTTGAAAGGCTCTCTGGGACAAAGATTACTTTTTCCTTCTAAGAACAATATGAAGTTGGCAGGTTTTTGTGATGCGGATTGGGCTAGATGTATTACTACATGACGATCAGTGATCGGATATTGTGTTTTTCTAGGGAAAGCACTCATTTCCTGGAAAAGCAAAAGACAAACTACAGTGTCCAAATCTTCGGCTGAGGCTGAGTATAGGTCAATGGCTTCCATTACTTGTGAGTTGACTTGGTTACGATACTTACTACATGATCTGCAGATTGATCATAGACTACCTGCCACTTTGTATTGCGACAACCAAGTAGCTATGCACATTGCTGCTAATCTGGTGTTTCATGAGAGGACAAAACATATTGAGATCGACTGCCATGTTGTACGGGAACAGATTGAAAGGGGAGAAATCAAGACGGCATATGTGCCAACCGGAAATCAAGTGGCCGATATCTTCACCAAAGCATTGGGACAAGTGTCTTTTCATTCACTACTTCACAAGTTGGGCATTCACAACATACATGCTCCAACTTGAGGGGGAGTATTAACGGAAAGAATATTTTTTCTTTATTATAATTATCTTTTCTTTTATTGTAATTATTTGTATTAATTTTTAGGATTCTTTCTCATTCATGTAATTAGTTTCCTTTTCCTTTCCCGTTTGCTTTCCTCATTACTTTGGTTGTATAAGTCATTCTTGTATTCTTTCATTATGAATATACAGAAAATTCTACCAAAAGTCTTTCTTCTTCTCTTCTTTTCTTTCATAGAATTTTACATGCCGTTCTTCTTCCATTTGCAGGTCCTCCACTCCGGCCGGCCATCAACATTTTCTGGCGACCATGAACGGCTTGTCTCCGATGCCCACCGGAGGAAGAAGTAACATTTTGTATGCCTAAATTCCAAATAAGTTTATATGGCATTTTCGGATTTTTGGCTAGATTATTGTTTTTGATCCTATTTAGATTGTGTTTAGGTCATTTAAATCTAGCAAATGATTATTGAAATCCTTGACCCCTCTATCGCTTTGATAAGTGTGGGTGAAATTTCATCCCCCTTCGAAAGTCTATGATATATGTAGGTCTCGATATTCCTTTGAATCAATTTGGCAAGAAGATGGCTTGTAAATTTGGCACGAGTAAGAAATACGACATGTTTTGCTGGAGTGGACATCGAAGAAGAAGAAGAAGCCATAATTGACACCCAGCAAATCTAGCTAGCTGGGAAGCAAAATTAACAAGCCAAAGCCTCGTTATCAGCTTGATTAATCTCCGTATGCTTTCGGAATGTGCTACACTATGTTCGTAGTTAAAAACCAACAAGCTTAAAGAGCAGAAATTAAAGGTTTGGAATTGCTGAAGCTACTACCTTGTCCTTCACTCACATTTCCTGAAAGGAAAAAAGTGTGAGACTTCACCATCAAGGGGAACCCACCGCCCAAATACCTGCCACTTAATTTGACTTGAAGGCATCAACTTTTTCACTAGAGTGCCCCGAAGAAAAAAAACAAAACATATGTTAGTGCTCAAAAAGTACCAGAGGAATCAGAGCCAAAAAAAAAAATAAAAAGGCAGATAAATTGCAATGTCGCACCTTTTATCTTTTGTTGTAGAGGGTGATTTCTATAATTGAATTTATATGAGGCCAATGACTGAATTCGGACCAAACAGTAAATTAATGTCGCGTACCAGATAATAAATGTGAGAAAAAGTAAATAAGAGACAAAGACACCAAAAATTTATAGTGGTTTCCCGAGGAATCCAAGTGTGTCCACTGTAGGGTCTTCAGTGATGATTCCACTAATATCGATGAAAGTACAATATGATTGAGAGAGAAGCAGGAAGAGAAGAGAGGAGAACGATGGAAAACAACAATAATTTGGGTAAAATAAAGCCTATATCCATAGAAAGTGCTCTGTATGCCATGGAATGCGTGAAGAACACTACTAAAGGCTAGGGTTTGTAGGCGTGCAAGTGCTCTGGGTGTGAATATTCGTGAATCCGGGTTCATATGGGCGTGAATTAATCCCCTTTTATAGGCTTGGTGGCTAAATCTCTTATGCTTGAATTCTGATAGGAGATATCCTATAAATAAGCGTGAAGTTTGAATATTTGAATTAGGACTGAGATAATTCCTTTTATAGAGGAGATATCCGTGTTTAAATGAGATTCCCTAAAATTTAGGGAGATAATCTCGTGCGCAATCTGGTCCTTATCTAGTAACTTGGCCACCAAGTCACCCAAGCAATTTGGGTAGCTCACCGGACAAGCTATTGGTCTGTCGAGTGGCGGCCTGAGAGCTATTCGAAGCTCGTAGTTTGATTCTGATGTGCTGGAGTCGTTCTTCTAGGTCATTCTTTGATGTGGGAAGTCTTGGATTGGATAAATGGCTTGTTGTCGCCTGGAGACTTGTTTGATGACCTGTTGGGTAGGCGAGTTGTCGGGAACTCCCGGTTGACTCTATAGGCCGATTTTATGATGAGCCCTCATTTTTCGAGGAATGCGATGACATGTGGATGGTGAGAAATGAGATGCGAAATTTGACCTCAACAATTGTTAAGCTTCATTTTGCCCCAAAAATATCAAGAAAAGAAACACAATAAAGAACAAACACGGTTTGAACATATCCTATGACAATAAGAACTATTTTCTTCATCAATCAAGCACAAACAGATCATTAAGTATTCAGCACTCCCTCCCACCAACAAAATCCTAATCTTATCTTTACCTTCACGCAATCAAATTCACTATATGTTCTCATCCATCAAACGCATCAAAGAAAACAAAAACTGAGGAACTTTAATAGAAACTTAAATTGGCCAATAACAGAAAGAAACCTTTTATAGCCTTTTGGGAAAATAGAATCATTATTTGGTTTGGAGCAACTAAAGAAGCTAGAAACAACGAATCAGAGAGAACACAAACCAAACAATCACTAGTTTTTACCGTAATCAGACTAAAAAAAAAAAGAGTAATCTTAAGTTAACAATATTTCCCTCTTAAGGAAAGTGAAAATCAATCCCATATCAATTTAACACGAGCCTTCACTCTTGCTGCATTTTGGTCTGCGTGTATCAAAATTATTGGAAAAATGCATAGTGATGTATCCCAAAAATTCTCATATGATAAAACTTAGACAATTGAAAGGAGAGAGAGCGAGAGAGCAACGAGGGGGGCTGAGAAACCCGAAATATTTCCCTCAGTTAAATTTTATTTTCCTCACATTTTTTCTTATAAAAATAAAATCCTCTATTTACTTTATAAGTTCTCTTCCACTTTTTTTTTTTTTTTTTAAATTATTTCTTTTCCACCCTTATGTTGGTACGAAAACTTTTTCCTCAACCGAGTGGTCCATATGTGTTTGTCGTATTTGGTTTATTATTATTATTATTATTATTTGGTTATTAAATTTAGGGACCATAAATATATAGATTGGACAGTTGATAAAACTGGTCCCAGAAGGATGGCCTATGCAATTTAAATGTTAGAAGCAATAATAGATAGATGGTCCGATATTATATTACAACCGCAGATGGGATTAGACCAATAAAATATCATCTATATCCGCAAGGAATATCTTTTAGGATTATCATCTTCTTTCGCATTAATTTCTAAATACACATCGCATTCCCACCAGATAAACTCTTTTAGGAATATCTTCTTCTTTCTCCATGTTAAAGGAAATAGGATATTCATATTAGCATGCTAAGACCCAAAAACCTGATAAATGACGTCATCGTGAATTAGCAAAAATTAATGGAAGAAGGGGAAAAAGAAAAAAGGTATAGAATCATTCTTTTACAAACAATCATAGTTTCATCATTTGTGACCCTATAAATAGACACAGAAGTTGGTTTTATCTACTAACTTGTTTCATTTTTTAATTAATTTGATTCAGATTTTGATCTTCTTGTGGAAAAAGTTGCAATGGCGGATGAGGAGGTGATTCTGTTGGATTTCTGGGGAAGCATGTTTGGAATGAGGGTTAGAATAGCTTTGGCTGAGAAGGGAATCAAGTACGAGTACAAGGAAGAGGATCTGTGGAACAAGAGCACTCTTCTTGTTGAGATGAACCCCATTCACAAGAGGATCCCGGTTCTCATCCACAACGGAAAATCCATTTGCGAGTCCCTCATCATTGTCCAGTACGTCGATGAGGTTTGGCATGGCAAAGCTCCATTGCTTCCTTCTGATCCTTATCAAAGAGCTCATGCCAGGTTTTGGGCTGACGTTGTTGATGACAAGGTAATTGATCAATCTTTTCTTCTTCTTTTTTTCTTTTCTTTTTTTTTTTCAACTTGGGTGTCGATCTTGAAACTTAGGCTAACTGCATTTTCTTAGCTTTGCTGGTTTGGTTCTTTCATGGTTTTGTATTGGGTTATGGTTTTTTCTTCTCTCAGTTGAGATTTTCAATATATGCATTTTTATTTCAAGAGGCCGGAGATTTTTAAAGTGGGAGGGAATACGTAGAAAATCTGTTTGGTAGGGAAAAGAAATAGCCAGCCAAATAGAAAACGCAGATAAACTCGAAACAATTAACGATACATTAGATGAACTTGAAAGTTGAAATGTTATTAGAATAGTGATGCATTTAAGATTAAAAAAAAAAAACGCAGATGTATGATGCTGGGAAAAATGTTTGGGCCACAAAAGGAGAAGACCAAGAGGCAGCCAACAAGGTATTCTTTGATACCTTGAAGCTGTTGGAAGCAGAGCTTGGAGACAAACCCTACTTTGGAGGAGACAGCTTCGGGTTTGTCGACGTTGCCCTCATTCCGTACTACTCCTGGTTCCATGCATACGAGACATTCGGCAACTTCAGCATCGAGGCCGAGTGCCCCAAGCTCATAGCGTGGGCCAAGAGGTGCACGGAGAAGGAGAGCGTCTCCAAGTCTCTTGCTGATGAGAATAAGATCTGCGAGTTTGTTTCCCAATTGAGGAACAAGTTTGGCATCGAGTAGATCTAGAAAGAGAGATAGAAACATCTCTATTGGGATATCTGTGTTGATCTCTTTTGTCCATCCATGGAACTAGCTTGCTAGATATAATTGCTTTGGAGTACACTTTGGTGTGTCGTACATATGATTGATGAATAATCCTTTGGTAGAGGCTATATTGCTCAAATGTCCTTCGATGAAGTGAAAAAGTTGGTTCCTTATTTGAATAATATATATTTGATCTTTTGAAATGTTTAGTGTTACTAATTTTAATTATTTTAATATGTAACATGCTCTTAATTTGATTCCTTATGATATCCTTCCCATTATAAATAAAATACTAGTATTTAGTTTGTTGTGTACTTTTAACATCTTCAATTTCTAATTTTTTTCTTACAAAACGTTTCTATATATGTGGTTGTTCAAGACTTCATAAGAGAAAAAAGAAAAATGGCCAAAAAGAGATGATATATATAAGGATTATTATCACTATTAACTCCTAAATTTTAAGTTCTTCTTAGTTTACCCCTTAAACTTTAAAAACCCTCATTTTGTCACCTAAATTTTGATTTGTTCTCACTTAACTCCTTATGTTACAATTTTTGTTAAAATCAGATGGAAAAAAGGAGATTTAAGTATTATAACATGGTTCTTACATATTTTATCTAATAGAAATTTGAACATAAATATCACGTGATTGTATTATTCTTTTTTTCTATTAATTTTTAACAAAAATTATAATAAAAGTGATTAAATAGGAATAATTTAAAATTTAAAAAATAAAATGACGATTTTTAAAGTTAAGAAGGTAAACTAACAATAACTTTAAAGTTCAAATAATCCTATATATAAACAAAAAAAGATTTTTTCGGTCAATGACGTACACATTGGGGTACGATTAAAAGCAAAAGATATAGCCTGCCCTAAGAGTCTATCCTTCTTAATCTTAAATTTTGACAATCCTACCATGGGAGTGGAAGATCCTTAGGAATTTCCCTCTCCAGTATGATTTATTTCTTTTTTTTTCTTTTCTTCTGTTTTTTATTTTTAGTATTCTTCATAATAAATAAAATTAATTGTTCACTTAGATATTATATTGGGTTGTTAAGTTTGGTTTATTTGAGTTTTAGAGACGTTTGGTTCATGAATTAGAATCATGTGATTAAAATCATTTTCAATTTACGTGTATTTTTTGTGAGAGAAAATACTATAACGAATGATGAACCATGATTCAAATCATAATTTAAATCCTCCAATCAAATGTCTTAATCTCGTGAGGAGAATTTTGTTTAGGTTTTATTAATTTTTGTGTGTATTTATGATCCCTTTAGGATGAAGAGGTCAGAATGCCAACCCATGTGGTCCTTGAAAGCGAACCTACTGGCGTGGGATTGCAAGAAAAGTAGGTGTCCTTTAATCTGCCTTGACCAATAGGACAAATAAAATGTAACTCCAGAGCAAGTCACTGGCACCAAACTTTTTGTCTTCCACATCATTACTCACACATGCAGCCCAAATAATCCTCGTTGCGTTTGTATTAAGTTGCATAGGGTGCAACCCCACCGTGATGAAGAAGCAATGAAATAAATGATGGAAGAGCAAGCGAAGAACGTTGTGGTGTTTCTTTAAGAGGACAATCTCATCCGATCCAAAGATGAAAACTGCAAAAAATCAAGGGACGTACTAATAATATATGGTTTTTGGAAGTATCATTGTTGGTCCCTGAAGTATTAATATTGTACCGACTTAGCGCCAAAGATTAACCCTAGTGAGGAAAAAAAATCAATACTATTAAAGCAATCTATCTAGAAAATAATTTGAGAATCAAAGTAGTACAATATTCATAGTTAATAGACAAAAGTGCTAATATAATATATATTATCTTTATCCGAAATCCGAAATCCGGGTGTTGTGCGTATTACTGATGGCATTATGTGTAGATAGAGAAACTTGAAAATAATTCCCTAACACTAAACATAGTTTAATAACAATTATTATAATAATAATAATGCTCAGTAGACAAGTGAGTGGGCCTTTTTTCCTACTCGTCTGTTTTGCAAAGGGAGATTTTTATAACTACCCATTAAAATGGTATAACAAATTATTATTAACCCTTAAACATTATTCTTTTTATTTTTATCCCTTTAGAATAGATCTAGTCAAACATTAATCAAAGGCATAAAATATAAATTACCAAAATACCCTCAAAGTAAATTGATAATTTACAAAATGCTTGGTGCCTCTGTCTAGTAACTTTTCCAGCGATCGCCGGTGACTTTTCCAGCGGCTTTTCCGGCGATTGTCTGGAGTTTTTCTGGCGACCCTCCAAGTGGCTTTTCCGGCGACCCTCTGACGGCCGGCCATAGTCTATCAGGTTATGACCCATAGTTTGTCATACTATAACTCATAATCTAGTAGGTTACGTTAGAACCAACCATAGTTTGTCAAACTATAATCCATAGTCTGTCAGATTATAACTCATAGTCTCTCATGCTATGATCCATAAACTGTCAAACTATTACCCATAGTTTGATAGGCAATGACCCGTAGCCTGTCAGGTTACATGGCGGGTCTCCAGTCACTGGCCGATCATAGTTTGTCAGACTATGATCCATAGTTTGTCAGACTATAACTTATAGTCTAACATGTTAATGTCTTTTGCTTGCCATAGTGTGTCAGTGTGTCAGACTATGACCTATAGTCTATTGAACTATAATCCATGGTCTTACAAGTTACGCCGACCGCCGGTCTCCGGGCGCTGGCGCCAATCATAGTCTATCACATTGTGATCCATAGTCTGACACATTACGCCGGCATCTATTATCTCTGCTATCAACCATAGTCTGTTAGACTATAAACCATAATTTGCCAGACTATATTCTCCAGAAATTTTAACCTTCAAACAAACAGACTACAAAAAAAAAAGAACAAAAAACCGATAAACAAAAATAAAATATCAAAAGAGCAAAAGTTTCTGAATGCAATATAAAATGCCAAACGAACAAAAAAAAAGTTCAGAATGTCAAATGATGCATTATAATTAGTCATGTAACAAAGAAATAGCTTGACTTAGAAACTCTCGTGGGCTTAAAATCAAACACATAAATGGGATTCCGGCTTATGAAATACAAAATTCATTCATCATCATTTAAGTCTTGAACAAAAGCTGGAAACAACCAACACCATCAATTTCTCAACTACTAAAATGAAAGAAAACTGAAAATTCCATCAACAATAATTCAAGAAACAAGATTTAAGCTGTGCCATCTACCAATTTTTTTTTTTTTAAAAAAAAGAAATTATTAAAAAAATTCTTTAAGCATATTGTAAGTCATTTCTAAAGCAAACCATAAATGCATAATACAAGCATTTATAATATACATAACTGAGAAGACAGTCTATGGCCATGATATTGCATTTCAAATAAAATAAAGCCCCAATCTTAACATTATCTGCACTAAGTAACTTAAATTCACACAAAAAATTATTAAAAATGTCGCATGCAAGAATTGAAAACCCAAAAATCTCAACATGCAATACTTTAATACCCAATATTTTAGAGGAAAAAAAGAAAAAAAAAAAAGTAAAATTTACCGACCAAATAAAAGTAGATGGTTGAGCCATAACAGCAATGGTGGTGGCGGCAACGACGAAAGGAAGCATCGCAAACAAGAGCCGGGATCAGTTTCTTCTCCAAGATATTCAGCAAACTGGTTGATGATATGAATGTTCTCCAATATCACAAACTAGACAATGAACGGAGAAAAAGAAAACATCTAAAATCACAACCGAAAAGAAATGAATTAAATAAAAAAAGAAAATAATAAAAGTAAACCAACCTGGGATGTAAAAGCATCAAGCCGTGCTAAAAATGATCAGAATCTGCAGATCTAGTGGACGGCCGAGATTCGCCGATATCGCAAGGAAGAGATCTCGCGATGCCGATCTCCCAACCAGATCTCACAGCAACGTTTCCCTGAGTGACGGCGACGTCTGGAGCTAACTAGAACGACGAGATTTCAAGGAAGGGATCTTGCGATGCCGATTTACGAACCAGATCTTATGGCGACGTTTCCTCAAGAGACGATGACGTCTGAAGCGAACGAGAACGACAACGGGCTTCCCACGCGGTGACGACGACGACTTCTCCTGCCATGACGACGACAGAAAGAATGGTCGGAGAGATGGGCAGGGGCGGGACAGTGAGAGAAGATATTAGAGAGTTTGAATTTGGAAATATATGTGATCAGAATATGTATTCGAGAGAGAATAATGATTTAAATTATAATTCGTGATTTATTATAATAATTTTTTTTAAAAAATTATATATAAATTAAAAATAATTTTAAATTATAATTTTAAATTTATAAATTAAATGTCTAATTAATTTTTAAGATTCGTTTATTTTATTAATTTGAGTCTTTAATTTTAAGGTATTGTTTATTTCATCGATTTGAGTTTTTAATTTTAGGTTTTTATAGTAAAAAATTCTCATAACATGTTATATCTAATTTTTTTTTATTACAGTGAAAAATTCTCAGAAAATGTCACATTTCAGCTCAAATTGAAAACTCGAATCCGCAAAGTGAACGAGTCCTAAATTTTAACAGTTAAAAACTCTAAAAAAATAACACATTTAATTTTTTTATTATAGTTAAAAACTTTAAAAAAATATCTCCATTCAAATTCACAAATTAAATGAGACCTTAATATGCAATCAAGACATCTAACCAAAGTTAAAGAGGTATTGTTTTTTAGAATATTTTTATTTAATCTAATAATTTAAGGAGGTTGGCAAAATACTTTTTCTTCCCAAAATAGTTGAAGTCAAAAAAAAAAAAAAAACATAACCACCCACCCAACTCCAGTAATAAATAGGGAACTTTGTATAAATAGACTAAGTAAAATGTGTTTTTAAGTAAATAAACCACCAAAAAAATAAATTGGGTAAATAACCCAACTTCCACGTCAGCATTCCACGTCATCAATTATGGTTTTAGGGTTTTATTTCTCCTCCTCATCTTCCATTTCGCGCTATTTTGTTCTCCCAGCCGCCTTCAATTTCTCATCTCTTCTTCTCAAGTCATCGTCATCGCATAACCTCATTAATATTATTATCTTGCCTATTCAACGTTTTTTTCTCGTCCAAAACGAAGTTTGAAGAAGAGCTACTAAGTAAGTCTTTCATTTTCTATATCTCTCATGGTGTTTTTCGTTGTTGTTCATATGTTTTTAAGATGAGAATGTAGTT